TCAAATAGTCTTATCCTGTTTTATAAATTCTCAATATGAAACGAGTTGTGAAATGCACAAAGTTATTTGAATCTATCCTAATGAAATTGACAGCTGAAAGTGTCCTTTCACAAACTTTAAATAAAACATGAGAATAACCAAGTTTCAAATATTCCTTGAGATGTGAATTATTACTCGTGAAAGCTCTTCTCGGCATTTCACAAGTCCCTGAAAATGGCGTGTTTAACATCATTCCTTGCGCACAATTCTCCTTGCAATGAATTGTATAGAGAGTCTCTTCCGTAATCCCAATAAAATTTGCAATTTATTATTTTGATATTCTGCATTTGACTTGCTACAGACGGTATGATTGCTTTCGTGCTCAGTGGCGAATATAAGAAATCACCATCGAATGATGAATTTCTCAGGAGATATAAACAGCATAATCCCGCAAAGAAATCGCAAGAGTAGACTGTAAGTTATTCATAGAGAAAGTTGAACTGAACATATGAATCTTCTTTCTTGATGGAGACTGGCGATGAATGCTGATATCAAATCGAAATAATCAGATAGCAAAATCTGTCAATGTTGTGTTGTGATCATAATATTCGTCTGATTCCAATTTTGTACCCCAAAATGAGCAAAAATAAAATTTTGAGCACATAATATGAATAGTTAAAATCGTCTGTGCACGAATAAAAAGCACATCATTGAATAGAAATTTTGATGTTCTTTTCAGATATGGCAAAAAAAATTAGAAATTCGAATGTATAGGGTGTTGTTTTCTGGCAGAAAGAATTTGTGAATTTTAAGTGAAGCCGGACCTGGATTTTATCTCTTGTTGTTACCTCAATCAATTCCACAGGATAGATTGAGCAAGTGTACCAATTTTTAAAAATATATACAGGTTGGTTGGAAAGTTATGAGACATTGAAGATATGGACAAAATGGATGAAACATCCTGTATCTCGGTTATAAGAAGTCGAAGACCCATCAACCATGGGTTTTTCGAAATCACCCCAGTGACCCCTATCCACAGTTGAATTATTTACCTTTCCCAATGAAACACCCTGTATAGGTATTATCTGCTGTGATTATCTTATTCTATGCAAGTATTGATGTGAAGGGTCAATCGACATTCGCACATAATGTCTTTTGTTGTAATCTAGAGGTCGTGGGATCGATCCCCAGTAGGAGCTTTTTTTTTAATTTTTTCATTCAAAATTCTCTACCCTGTCTAGATATCTTTTTCAAATATCTGATTGAAAGAGGCGGATCTACGTTGATGCAGGTACTCGTGGTCCCTTTCAGACCTGAACAAGACCTTGATCGTACTTCCTGGGCACCTCTGGTTGTGTAATATCATATGTCCCCAAAAAGTCCTGAAAACGTACATTGTACCTGAAATGGACGTTCTGTCATCGAGTTGTTGGTACGATTCATAACTTTGTGTGATTTCAAGTGAATCATCTGTAGCCTATCTGATGATGGAAATAAAACTTTTCGAAAGCATAGATATGCTCAAAGGAGTTTTCTTTCACATTAAGTACTTATGGCTTATGGTTATCACTTGTTAACACTGCTTTCATTGCGACGCCAAAAAACATATCTTTATGCACATATATGCCATCAAGACCATAATACTTTCTATGATATCATAATCATCATGTTGACCAATGAGATGTACCTACTTAATTTGCGAAGAAAATTATTTTCATGACATGAAACTAATTGTAGAATTAATAGGGAAGGAAAGGAGCGTAAATCTCTGCACAGTAGAAGATTCCAGTGGAGAAGGAACGTTATAGCTTTTACATCTTATTAAAGTTGCCATTTCCACAATTGCTTTCTGCTTTGAGCTTTGTCTCTTTGAATAAAATCACTGTATTTTCCGGCATTTTTCCGTTTGAAGGGACAGATACTGCTTTCTCCGTTGAAGAAAATTCCTATCGCGATACAAATAATAATTGTATCCTGGAAAGAGAATCCTGAAATACTTCAGAGATGAACTTTTCTTTATTGGTCACTCGTGTACTGAAATTCTAGAAATTTTTCTCGTGTATGCTCTTCAACCATTTCAAAGATATTGATATTATTCGTCACACAATAGACAACCTAACAAGAATGTTATACAGATTGTTTGCCGAATTATTACATATATTATTATAGTGCATGTGAATGGCTACGTATTATTCGGTTATCGTGCATCTTCGATAGTATCTGCTGAATCTAGTTGGAATAAAAGGAATATCTTTATGCACCCAATTGTTTAACCGTGAGCGTTGGTCTCTGGTGACTGCGATGTTGTCGAATGCCAACCTTTATGAAAGGTACTCCTATATCCAACGATTCGATGAATAATCTACTCATTGCATCTACTCAGATGCAAACGGGATCTGAAATGACTGTGAACGCTGTCGCTGTGTACCGCTGCATATAAAGTACCCCTTCTACAAGTAACTCAGAGGGAGGAGGCTCTGCATACTATAGCTTGCTATTGTTTTGAACAATTCAATGAGAGTGCAATCGGTATATATCTACTAAACATATACGGAGCAACATATTGTTTTCATAATCAAAAGAAAAGCCAGTTTCGAGAAAACAAATAACAGTCTGCGGGTAAAAACAGATATTTGCGAAGGCGCGTGTTTTGTCAAAAATCACAGGTCAAAATGGGAGATGTATCTTGAGAGCATTTGAATTGTGCAGGATATGTGTTGTCTCGTCGAAAGTCGAAATTCATTTGAGGTGAGTTGTTGAAGTTTCTCACCGATGCCTCTGATGATTATATTCCTTGGTGAAATTCTTTATGATAGCTGGCAAATCTGTCAGTGCAATGAAGAAAACAATGAGATGGTAATTCAATCATTTTTATTCCTAAATTTCAGCGATTAGAAAGCGTGTGAAAATTGGGCGATGGTGGAAGTGAACAGGAACAAGCTAGAAATAATTTTATTTTTTGTTCAGGTGAGATGTACAAAGGAACTTGAGATATTCGGGCTGATGGTTCTATACCAACTTCTGCTGCTTTGCAACTGAAGCCTCATGATGAAGTCAATTATGCTTGATTGATCCAGTGAACGATTGGACATGTGTAGATATGCAGTGCTTGTTCAAGTTAACAGGTGAGAATACCAATATTACACAATTGAATCTATATCCTGTATTCTTTCTCATATATTTTGCCCACTGAAATTTCCACCACACATGCGGTAGGTATGAAGAACTGGAAGAATTCAGTTATGAAGCTCACACCCATGCAAGTGGTGAGAAAATTCAGGCACAGATGCAATGTAAGTAGTAAAGCCTACAACTATACTACCTTCTATATAATTTCTGACCATGAATGGCTGATGTTATTTGTTCTCCAGATAACAAATTAGCTGCCCCACATGAACATTTCTACAACGAAGCTGGAATAACATTTCTGAAACTATTCCATTACTGTCATTCACATGTATCTAGTGTATTGGTCATTTAATTCTTATTCCTCTTATCGAATTACATGGTTTGAATTATTCTGTGTTAATATTATCCTATATTATGATGGAATGAAGCAAAACTGAGGAGGTACTTATTGTTTTTTGTTCATTATTAGAGAAAAAGTGACAATACATTTGAAAGCTGGTTGAAAAGGAATCCACAAGACCTAACGGGTGAATTTCATGACACAGGACTGAACCCAAATTTGAAAAATAATTACAAAAACACAATCTGATAGTAATCGGCTAGAAGTGTGGGTATATCATTCGAAAATAAAATACAATACTGTTTGAATGCGATGGGAGCAATTTTTTTAGTTATTTTGATTTTTATATTCGTTTTTTTGTCGTTAGAGCTTTGTTTCATCAAAACCATCAGAACTTTGCAGCTATGAATTCCAGTGAAGTCTTGGTCATGTCAATGAGGCTTCAGATTCAGAACAATCAGGAATGAAAAATGAATATCAACATTGAAATTTAGGTTATATCGAACATTTCACAAGAGTTTTGATAATAATCATCATATGTTCAAAACAAAGCATGAAAGGAATTCTGCGAACTGATGTCTTTTCTTATTTTTAGATGACGCATGCGCTATTATACAGTTTTGCTCGCAGAATGTCATTTATTTTACTTTTGGCTTCACTTGGAGATCCTTGTTATCTGAATAGGTTCATAAAAAGATGTACAGAAAGTCAAATGGTATTATCACTTCCTATTGATAGGAGTTTCGAAATCTCTCGATAAACGCCTACTTTGTAGAAATAGCGAGGCGTGACAGAATCTTGCTAAATTTCCGAAGTTCCAAACCCAATTCACAGGCATCATGACATTCATTTGAGTTTACATTTTCATTTTCACACTTTTTTGGTTTAATTGAGAACGATGCGTCATATTTTCGACTTCCAATGGTACATTCATGAACGACACGAATTCCTAACTCAAGAAAATTTTGTGGTAATAGTTTATTTAGGTACTCACTTTTCGTGAATTAAATGAAACGAATGTTCGGATTTCCAAATAATCCTCATACATTGCAACAGTCAGTCCATGATGGAAGCACAATACATTCACTCAACTAATAATACGTATAACATCAATACCTGCTAAATAAACTACTGATGCTCCTAATTTATAATATTTCTATTTGAAATTTGAACAAAATCCTGGTGACATATATGTCAAGATCAAGATGTTTCCACACGGATTATTTGTTGCGACCTGTCTCAAAATGCTTATAATCAGTTATTATCAACTTTGTGAATCATCAACGGGACTCTTCAGGTCCCGAAAGGAGAAGAACACATCCTTGGAAGTCTAGTTCAATTCCATAATAACAAATTGTCGACCGCTGACGCCATCTATCATCGAATATAAGAACCCCACGTTGCGAACTCTCATTCAATCGTTCATATCGAGAGCTAGTCTGACGAAACATTTGAAGAGTGGGCACAACCTGTTTATGTTCGGTGGTACAACAGAGGAATTATTAACATCTCAGTTTATTAGGTATATGGCAATCGGGCGCAGGTTACTTACCGTTGAGAATATGTACGTATGTACTAGCAGGCTGTGCGTTGCTTGGTACGCATGAATAGTTTCCCGAATGGCGGGTTGCTGCATTCGTAATCGTCAATGTGCTCGTCTTCTCTGTGAGGTCGGTGGTAACGTTGATCCCTCGATCTACGTCATAGTTGATCATACGATTGTTGTGGTACCAGAAGATATAAGAAGGGGCCTTGCAACAAATAAACATGTTAATTCTCATGTATTCAGATGATTTCAATTACGTGATTTATTGACAATATTTTTTCCAGTGTAACATTGCAAATTCATCGATAAATATTTTCATGAGTTATACATGGAATTGATATTATATACAGGGTTACTGGTAATTCGATACATTCCTTTGGTGATGTGATAGGGGAGGTGGTAGTAAGTCAATTCAACCATAATATGGATTATGCAAGAGTTAATAGTATTTGAGATATTCAATTCTATGTATTCATCTCCAAAAGGTAGACTTCCAGGGTTCAAAAGTAAGTTTTCCAAAAATCTGCTGTACCTTTTTCAAACCATTCAACTATAATACGTGATCAACACTATGCTCTCATGTTTGGAATGGAAAAATTCCAGAAATAATTCTGATAATAGATAAATTGTATATACAAAGTCTTATTTATGTTTGTTGATTGTGGATTTCAACACTTTGTAAAGGTTATTTCTAGTAAAATCTCTAAGCCACATCCGTTAAAATTTTTTTGAAACTTCCTTAATGCAATAGGTATCTAACTGGGTACGAATGATAATATAAGTGCTAGAAACGGGTTTGTTATTTCACATGAATAAATGAAACGTACTCGAAAAACTTCTAATATTAGTATCAACTCTCTACAAATCCTGTTCAGAATGAGACCTTAATCACGAATACATGCTCGGCAGCGTCTTCTTATTTCCGTCATTGTTATTCTAGTTCTCAAATAATTTTGAATTTGCTGGGCAGCGTCGGTTATCATTTTTATGAGTTCTTTCCAGGTATTTACTGGAGTTCCATCAACTATAGCGCTTCCATAATATGACCCCACACATAATGATCAAGGGGGGTTAGGTCAGGGCTTTTCGCTGGCCAACCTATTTGACCTGACCTCCTGATCCAACGGTTCAGAAAACGTTCATCTAGGAACTGCCGAACGATCAGCCGATAATGCCCTGAACATCCGTCTTGTTGGAGTATCATCCGTCCTCTGATGGCGAGAGAAACATCCTCAAGAAGCTCCTGAAGATCATGCCGTGAAAAAATTTCATACATTTCCCTGTTCAAATTGTCTAACAAAAAATGTGGTCCTATTGAATAACTGTCAAAGAGTTCCATCAACACATTAACAAAAAGCTTCCGTTGGAAACTATTTCCCCTTGTTGAGCGAGGATTTTCTTCGGCCCAATGATGGAGGTTATGAACATTTTTTATGCTATTTGGATGCCTCGAGCAAATACGAAAACGAAAATGAAAACTGCCAAAAATAAATACTGATAAGACATTTTTCAAGTGTGTTTTATACTATATTCCTTCGGAATAACGAATCCCTATCAAGCACTTAAGGAAGTTTCAACAGATTTTTGACAAATGTGGCTTAGAGATTTTTCTAAAAATAACCGCTAGAATGTGGTTAAAATCCACAATTCACAAACAAAAATACGACTTTGTATCTACAGTTTATTTATGATCTAAGTATTCTCTGTTATTTTGTCATCCCAAACATAAGAACATAGTGTTGATCATGTATTCTAATTGGAAGTTTGAAAACTGTAGTGCAGATTTTCGAGAAACTAACTCTTAAACCATTCAAGCGTATCACTTGGAGGAAAACAAACGAAATTAAATATCTAAAAAACTATCAACTTTTGCATAATGCATATAAGGGTTTAATTTACTCCTCGCCAACTTCCCTATCACATCTCCAAAGGAATGTACCATATTACCAGTAACCCTGTATATATACAGGCTGACTGACAAAAAACGCCCCAAGCCATAGCGCCGCTATTTATTATCCGATTTTGAAAAACAAGAAGCAAATGAAATGATATATCAGATACTACAAGGTGGCACTAACAATTTTTTTTTTCAAATTCCAACTCTAACGACGCCGATTGTCAACTTTTTTTTTCGAATGGAAACAAATATTTTTCAATTTTTTTTCTGATAGAGACTTTTTTTCTGAATACAATCATGTATTACAAGTTGATTTTTGCACAAAATTAGTTGACAAAAATCAATTCTCAGCCGACAAAAAATGGGTCTTTTCATTACATTGTCTATCGAGTCATTGAACGTAGAGTCCGTCACTTATACAAAAAAATACATTACAATGTTAGAAAAATAATGATAATATGAAAACAAAATATCTTAGGAAACTACAAGTATTGCTCAAACTGGCCCCCGCCCTGTTGAACACATAGTTCACACCTTCTGATTGCACCACGAGTTGCGTTCCAGATAAAATCAGGAGGTATTTCATGACAAACTTCAATGATTCTCTGCTTCAGAGTTTATAAATTTTCTGGACGATAGATAAACTCGATCTTTAAGATACCTCCACAACCAAAAATCAAGTGGCGTGAGATCGGGTGATCTTGGCGGCTATCGAACTGGTCCATAAGTCCCTATCCATCTTTCAGCAAATGTAGCATTCAATCAATCAACATTTATTTGGGCATTGGGCGTCTTGTTGAAAGTAAATTCTGTTCAGATCGGCAACTGGTGCAATAATTGGTGATATCCCTGTTGATTTAGTGCGCCATCTATAAAAAATGGACCAATCAATCTATCGCACCAAATACCGCACCCCACATTCACACTGAATCTATTTTGAAAATTCGTTGGAACGATAATTCTTGGATTTTCTTGGCTCCAATAGCGGTGGTTGTTTCTATTGAAAATGCCATTATTAGTGAATGTACACTCGTCGGTCCAAATAATTTTTCTATAAAACGTTCGATCTTGTTGCATCGCATTCAGAAAATGCAAAATTGCAAAATTGTTCCCTTCGATCTCGATCATTTTCTACTAGTGCTTGTACTTTTTGGGGCACGTATGGTATGAATTTGTGCTTCTTGAGTATTGCTTGCACGGATTGTTGCGAAACGCCAATGTTATTAGCAATTTCTCGAGTAGAAGTCCTTGGGTTTTCTTCTACACTGGGAAGAACAAATTCGACATCCTCATCAAACTGACGTTCCTTTCGTTTAGGCTTGAGTGCTCCGTAGTTTCTCAAATTTCGTTCTAGCCTAGCAAATTTACGAAGATCTGGAACTTCTCTGTCAGGAAATCGATCAACGTATAATCGCAATGCTTGACCACTATTTCTACCGCATTCAAAGTACGTTTGTATCATGTCGGTCAGTTGATTATTATTCATATTTCGTTTTGTTCTGAAGAATGAATATCTTGAGCTGTTTGAAAATATGGAACAAATGTCACACTGACAGCTCATGGCCATAGTTGATTCTGATGAGACATCTACTGCCACTTCAATAACTCGATAGACAATGTAATGAAAAGACCCATTTCTTGTCGGCGGAGAATTGATTTTCGTCAACTAATTTTGTGCAAAAATCAACTTGTTATACATGACTGTATTCAGAAAAAAAAATCTATCAGAAAAAAAATTGAAAAATATATGTTAACTTTTGAAAAAAAAATTTACAATCGGCGTCGTTAGAGTTGAAATTTGAAAAAAAACTGGTTAGTGCCACCTTGTAGTATCTGATATATAATTTCATTTTCTTTTTTGTTTTTCAAAATCGGATAATAAATAGCGGCGCTATGGCTTGGGGCGTTTTTCGTCAGTCAGCCTGTATATAGAAATATATTATTTCTTGCTTTCAAACATACCAAGAATGATCAGTTCAGCATTAGAAGAATCAACTTTATTATTCACCGAACGGTTCGCTACTTGATGACACTAAATATATCGTTCTCCTTACGGTACATCGACATTGAAAAACATATTAAAACGAAATTGAATGAGAAATTTCAATAATTTATTATCGGAGGTGAATGGTCTTGGAAGGAAGCTGTTCTTGAACAGGGAGTGATGATCTTTATCCTTTTATGTACTTTATAAGAATCATATTACCCACTCTACTTATAGGGGGGACTCCTTACTTTGGCGTTCATCGAATAAGTTTTTGAATAAATGAACCAGAAAAGCGCAGAAAGAACAAATTTAGATTTTAATCAGTCTTTCAACATTAATAGGCTACAAAAAACTTTTCCTTCATAATTGAATAACCCTCGTAATCCAAGCGCTTCTCAACCCTGGATCTTATTTGAGTTTTGATAATTAAAAACTTTTTGAGGATTGCTGCAGTAAGTAATGGAATTTTCGTTTGGGTACGTTTTCCGGTGATGATGAATCAACAAGAGTTGACATCACCATTAGCAGAGGAAACTGGAAAAATCTTTCTGGAAGGTGTCCTAATTGAATTTGCTTCTGAATTCATAATGAAATGTATTTTGGAGATATTTCATAATGAGAATGAAGTACACAGACTGATGTTCCATTAGATGCTCTTTCAATTTATACAATTCTCATAAGTACATGAATGTTCTTTATTCTGTTAATTGTGATATGATATTCTCAACATTTCAGAACTTCTCAAATGGAAGCCATCTTATGCGACTGTTCGTCAGCATAAATATTTCAAATACCTAGTTTATCAATCAACCTGAGGTAGGTTCTTGGTATTTGAAACCAGGCATAGGGAAGACTTCGATATTATGATCCTTTATTTTAATTTTTTGATATAATTGCTACTAATCAATGTTTTTTTTCCTGTCACTATATGATAACCAGTCTGCAGTCTGACTGATTCAGTTCAAGCACAATTGGAGAACTAAGGAAAAAATCACTCGAGATCATCTGAAAAAGAAAAAAAGATGGTAGTTATTACCAAACGTTTAGTAAAATAGGCGTCAGTCACAACTTTCATCAAATGATACCACTACAACATTATATACTACTAAATCATGAGTATCATTCTATTTTGTAGTGGTGATATTTGATATAATTTATATAATGTTGTAGTGGTATCATTTGATGAAAGTTATGTGACTGGCGCCTATTTCACTAAACGTTTGGTAATAACTACCCTTTTTTTTTAGTGCAGTGCCTGTCCTATACCCGATCATAAGATCAATAAGAAGCTCTGCATGTACAGGGTGGCCAACTAAGAATCCAGAGTTCGATACCTCTTGAGAGATACAAAAAAAAAGTTTTGCATTCAAATTGAAGTGATAACCGAGCTTTACATTTCAAAATTTCTTTGAAATACACAGGGTGTTCCGTAAGGTCACAGCACATCAAAGCTATGTTTTTTTCATTGAAACACCCTATATTTTATTTCATTTTTGAATTCTCCCTGAAGATCTGATTTCAATGACCCATCATACTTATGGTCTAGCAGTGAAAGTTACTGACATATAGGGTGTGCAAAATCGAGATTTTCCAAGTTCAGGATTTTTTTCTGTCGAAACTCTTCATTATTCGTCAAAACGGTTTACATGTCCCTATCTCAACTTTTCACTCACTATCAATTGGTGTTCAATTGACATTTAATTAAAACAAATTATAAATTTAGATTTTCTGACCACCTTGTATCAATTTCAATTGAACACGAATTGATAGTGAGTGAAAAGTTGAGATAGGGACATGTGAACCGTTTTGACGAATAATGAACAGTTTCGACAAAAAAAAATCCTGAACTTGGAAAATCTCGATTTTGCACACCCTATATGTCAGTAACTTTCACTGCTAGATCCTAAGTATGATGGGTCGTTGAAATCAGATCTTCAAGGAGAATTCAAAAATGAAATGAAATATAGGGTGTTCATATGAAACAAACATAAATTTGATATGCTGTTACCTCATGGAACACCCTGTATATTCCAAAATGATTTGAAATGTGCTGCTCGGTTATTACTTCAATTTTGATACATGACTTTTTTTTGTATCTCTCAAGACAACAGAGAAATCGAACTCTGGAGTCTTAGTTGGCCACCCTGTACAGTCGAATTCAATAAAAAAGCGTACAAGTATTAAACATAGAAGATTTTGGCATTCTAGTTCTCGTTGTGTGAAATTGGCTCAGCCAATGCTTTGTGTTTTTGGGAACCTATGATTACTCTACTGTCAAAATTTGGTAAACATTCATTCTCGATAGCCCGTTTTACGCAAATAAGATGACGTTAATTTCTCCCTCCAATATACCTGTACGCGTTTTTTTGAATACGACTGTACTTACAAATGAAATTATCAGAAAAGTGGTTGCTTTATGCTCATTCCCTACCGTCTTCCGATTCATGTTTGTAGAAACGTCTTCCTTCTTTTTCTCATCATCATGATTTGATTGAGTACATTTGAAGGAATTAATGGAGCCATTTGATACAGTCATTGTTCAGGAAGCTCTGAAAACATGTTTCATCATGAAACTGAGTCACGTTCTGGCGATCGCAGAAGCCAGCGAGAATGCAATTTCCTTCATGGAAACTTTTTCCTACTCATGATTACTTGTTGCACATAGAAACTAACTGGGTGGAATATCAATTCGTTCACAGCAGAGTACGCTTTTATACTACAAGTAACAGGCTCTGCCTATCGAATGGCGCTAATTAATTAAAAAGTTTCAGTTTCTTGAACAAAACAAAGAGGACTTCAATTGATGTGATATGCTTTCCATGATAGGAAATGAAAAGAAGCCTCATTATTGATGGAACAGTCAAGATCAGTTTACTTTGTTTCTTAATATAATGCTTTTGAGTGCGCATCGATAATACTTTATTCCACCAAAAGCCCTACAACCTACAACCCACCGTCACCTACTCCTTTTCTTCATTTCAACACAACTTTTTTTAATGCAGGAGTGGTAGGTCTAGGTATCGTTAACAAACAATATTCAACTCGCACATAATGAGAAAAGATATACTCATATTTATATATGATACCGAAAACACTTTGGGTTTTTGGAATCTATCAGAGTCAACCTTCTGATTCAATGGAAGGCAGGCCAGATTTTCCTTCGCTAATGCATCATTGCAACACGATCAGATGACCTGAACGTTGTTGATCATTCCAAAAATAATTCTTTCATCACTATACTATCTCTTCTTTCTGATAGAAATCGATTCAGGTCTGACAGCAACGATTTGCGTGACACAATCTTGAGATCCTCCAGCAACTTAATGCTAATATCGCATGCCACCATACATTTCTTACACTGAACCAGAACTTCCTAAGTGCATGGATTGACTGATGACTCGATCAATCACACGGGAACTTTCGAACCTGTGACATCGTTATGTGAGTGTTCACATCGATTTTCTCGAGGAAGAGATAGGTTATTTCGTTCAATGACGATATATGCACTGATCACGAGAGAGTTATGCTACGAAATATATATTGAACTTACATACGAAAGCGTAGGAAGACCACTTTTGTGTGTATCTTATTTTATTTCTTTATTCAAGACTTTTTCGTCTGAATTCCGAAAAGTTAATGGAGATGAACAATAAGTATGGAACATGTCTCTTTGGTTGATTCACATCATTAATGAAGAAGTGGAGATGACTTCGAGCTTTCCTTCTTCCTTCTGAAAAATTCCATTCCACTTTGATCGAACATGGCCTTCAACCAGAAATCCCGTTTTTTACGCTGAATTCCCGGACTTTTTTCTGTGAATTCAGACTTTTTTGTGATCGCAGTTGCCTTAGGAATTGTGTCAGATAATTTTTATTTGCTTGACGAAGTAGATTTTTTTGAGTCGCATATTATGAGAGAAAACAATTCTCAAATCGCCCTAGGAATACGTTACTATACGGGGAGGGGTTAAGGGTGGAGCACTGTATTGTGGATAATTAAAATTTTCGTTTCCTATTCTCCAAGGAGGTTAGGTACGATAATTCAGCAATGTACACATTGTTCTGAACTGTATCAGATGTTATCAAGTAAACGTTTGCGACTGCTAAGTCAGTAGGGTACTACTTGAATTTCGAAAAATAATGATTTGACTGTATCAACAAGAAAAAGAGTTAAACTCGAGTGAACTGCCAAGTTATCCACTATAGGAATATTTATAGGTACCCAAAACTAACTATAGCTCTGAGAAGGAAACATTGATCGAAATCATTTCGCATATCATGGATATATATGTTCAGAAATTTCCACTACCTACTAACTGAACATCATTGAAATACAAAAAGAATATTCCATTTGAGAATCGGAAGTTGGGGTCTTTTCTGATAACGGAGAATCAAGTATCCATATGAGTATAGGTATACATAGAAAATGTGAATTGAACTATAACACACAACTCTTAAATTTCGATTTTATGTCTACAATAATAATTAAGCGGTGAGCCACCTAAGAGCATCATCCGGTATAGCTGACTTCAGAATACGTCGACATCGAAATAGAAATACGTTTACCTTTTCATAAAGATTCAATGGTTTGAAAAACACTCAAAACTGGTACATATATTTGTTTCAACTCCATCTCAAACAAATTCTCCAGATTGGATCATATAACAACTCCTAATTCGTTCAATTACACTCACCTCTGTGCTCTGTAAAACATTACATTGTAAGCGGAGTCCCGATCCTGGTTTGAGATACTTCTCTGAAGGGCCTTGAATTTCAGCACGAGCCTCTGAAACAACATCAAACGATATTCATTCATTCAAAACTCAATAGCCGCAACTATATCTGAAGTTTCATTAGATCCGCTGCCTGAATGCAGCTCGGGAAACCGAATTTCAGGACGTGTTGTTATTGGCCACAATGTATCACGTGATGGAATTCGGAAAGCATGCGCATTTTCTCACAGAATGACTGAGGATTATCGACGGGAGAAACGTCTTTGACATATTAGATCAGTATACCGAAGAATAATACAGTGTGCTATAGTGCTACCTCAGCTTCCACAGTTTTATTTTGATAAATGTACTCATCAGATAATCAGGATATAAGATAAGGATACGTCGCAGGTTCTTGTTTTGGAGCGTTTTCCACTTTCAATGGTTTGCCAACCCACTTCAGGTAATTCGATCTAGTTTTGAATTCATTTATAAAACTATTAGTTGAATATAAAAACTTCCCAAGCTATAATAGCGCCGATATTGGTTTTCTGATTTCGACAATCAAAAATTAATTGGAATCATATATTATGAGTAGACACCAATCATCATTTTTTCACATTTCTTTCTACCGTAAGCGACTGTTTTCCTAGTTTTCTCAAATGACACGATCTTCTTTGAGTAAGCAATGGTTAGATTAGGTTAGGTTCCATGTGATTGGGTTGAATACCACCCCTTTACTAATCAACTACGACCCCAGATCGGTCAATTGTTGTTTACCCCTAGAAAGAGAATTTATGTTCATTCTCCAAGATACATGATCTTATCAACAAACACGCCGTATAAAATTAAAATGTATCAGTGAACAAAAATTGAAACACAAGACTTTCTCATAATCACAGTTGTGTATCGTCATAACCTATTCTATTATAAAACAATCAAACATAATATACAATACAAGAATACAACACTATAACACTTTATATTCACAATAGTTGTGATTCGTAATTGAAATACTCTGTGACATCATGGTAATATGCTTTACATGCTAATTTCTCTTGAAGAGATTTTCTGAAAATCTTGAGAGGCCCAATCGTCTTTATATCCATGGGGAGCTTCTTCAATTCATTGTGAATGAGTCTTTGATTCCATGAGGATTTGGATATAATAAGGGCCGAAGTTCTTACATTACTTGCTGTGCGAATATGGTTAATGTACGAAGATTTATTCTTGTGTATCAAACATGTGGTTTCCAGTATATTATAATGATGTGAGAGTTAATATTTCACACCTCTGGAAATATGGCTTGCAAGTGGTCGATCTTTCAACCTGACAAGTCCATGGTTGAATGAGGTGAGATTTGTCTGGAATCGATAGGTCCTGAATTGGTGAAGGCAAATATGTCGAACCTCAGTGTCTCTAAGCAAGAGCATAAACATAAGCAATATCCTTTTTACCTTGTAACATTCTCACTACTGAGATCAATAGAGTCAGAAAGAGGTGAGACGGATCTGAGTTGTCGATTGAATAAAAAGAGCACGTTTTCATCTGTCAGAAAAGGCAAGGAAAGATAACATGATTCAACCAAAATGTAAAACGACTGAGGCAATTAATGAGGAGCTCAAAAATATTATTGTAGAGTGAGTATAATAATGAACTACGACAATACTCAGTTATTTTATAGAAATTAATTATTTTTTTCAAAGCATTTAACCTATGGACTGAAAGCATGTCAAAATGAAAATTAATCTCACGATTTTCAGCACAGAACCACAGAATTACTAGAATTGATCCAGACTCCCTTTTTTTCTCACTACATCACCAAGCTCAGCTGGGGTGAGGGAAAAGAAATAGTCTCAATAAGTTCAATTGCACTGAGAATCGTGGTAAATCTCAGTCAAAGTTGGAAAAATAGTTATTTTTGTATCTAGAGCGCGAAATGCTACTTTGGTGATCGAGATCTGATATTTTTAACGAGGCCTGGCCGAGTTAAAAAAATAGTCGAGATGACCAAAGTATTTCGCGCTCGAGTTGCAAACAACATTTTTTCTACAAACGTTAAAAAATATAGTTTTAAAGTAAAAATATGCTTAGCTTAATATAAAAAATGGTGTTGAACTGGCTTAGAAGGCCTCCCCTATCCTCCCTAGGTAGGCACGATGTTCCACGAACATAATAGAAATTTCCTTTCGTACGCTCCAAGAGATAAAACGAAGTTATTGTTGAACATTCAGAAATAAATGATTTTTTGGATGTTTTCTCGATTAAGTACTATTTAGTTGAAATATAAATATCTCATATATTTTCCATAACAATGCGCGAAGTAGGTACTTCGCGCACTGTTTTACTTCGCACATTGTTTGGTGCAAGATATCATGGTAACATAGGAAACTGAATAAAAGTGTCACTTCGCAATTTGCTATCAATGCGCGAACCTTGTCATTTTTTGACGTTTGTAGAAAAAGAATATCACTATAATATGTGTTCAGCCGTTTCGTCTTTCACACAGCCGAACCGACAGTCCATTTGTTGGTTCAGACCCGTTTTTCCTAGGTGGTGTCTTAGACTACAGTGTCCCGTAAGCAGTATTGTCAGAATTTTCAGGTTAGGTAGGTGAGTATGAAATGAATTCGCGAAGAATTCTTTTGAGATAGTAATGGAATTCACTTCCATTTAGTGCTTCTATGTAACTTATTGCTGATGATGAAGCTTTGAAGCTTCGAAACATGTCCCTTGTATGAATTGTTCACATTAAAGTATAGTTTTGGTGGAGTTGACTGTATGAATTTTCGCCCTGTCCTATTGTATGGAAAATGTTGATGAACAGGTGACTGAAAGTCAAATTCTCAACGCTGTGATGTATCAACCCAAAAAGGAATATATAGACTCTACCAGCATCCTCGCCTATGAAATAATAGTAACGTATCCGTGAGACTGCCGTCATGTCAACTATTATCTCCTTGAATGTCTCCAATCCCGATCTCTCGAACTATTTGATCGATGACGTGAAACACATTCAGAAATAGACGTGATTCAACCTACCCTTATATATCTAACAATCTCAACTAGCGACATACGCTTTTGCATCTCCTTTTGTGTATATTCACTCCATTCTCTGGATTTATCCAGCTGTGAAAAACCTCTCCAGCTATACGTAATGAATAAATGGAAAAACATTCTGAACTGCACCTTCCGACGATGAAAGAAGAAAAATGAGTCATCTTGCTTTTGTTTCGTTTGCTCACTATGATATTATGTTGATTGTAGCAATCTTTTGTTATTTTTTTGAAGCGCTTGACTGATGCGAAAATCATTTGGATTGCTCTTGCAAAGACTTAGCAAGTATGGATTCAGAGGTATAGCTTGGAATTGGTTCAATGCAAACAAAATCAGATTGTGCGCAGGGATGGTGAATATTCTGAGACTAATACTCAACGGTGTTCCAAAAGAATCGGTTTCACACCTATTATAGTATACTGTTTCTTCCTTATATATTATACATTTCTTTTCAAATTCAAGAGGTCGACACTATGACGTCATCGATTACATTTTTGTTGAGCAACCTAATGAAATAGCAAATAGATGAAGCTTTTAGATTAGTTTTTGATGAAACATGGGAAATTTTTAATACATTGCCAATCAGGATTCTTTTAGTAATTCACTCAAATCACATTTCCTGTCTTGAATTTTCTCGTGAACTCAGAACAGGAAATGGTATACTTATTCCTGATTCACATCGAAGAGGAGGTAATTATTCATAGATGCAGGCTTGACACACTCACAAGACGCCTTTTGTATTCATTATACTTTGATGTTAATTTGATTCGCCTATTTGAAAGATTGAAAAAACTTCAAGAACAAGAATATTATTTGAAAGAATTATTGAAAGGAATTCTGATTGGCATATATGATTGATGCTTGCTTAGTGAAAATGATGAATCCAGAAAAATGTCTTCTGCGTCTCCATTAGGAAAATGAATATCCACTTATGATATGTCATTGAAAAGAATTTGTTTCGCGCTCTATCAAAAATATCTACAGGGTTTCATTGAAAATTATCGACCTATGTCAATATTTGGTGGTGATATTCAATTGTTCCTCCATGGAAAAATATATGTTCTGAGGAACTATCTTCGATCCAACCGTCAAAAATCTGACATAAAAAACAACTAAATTACGCTCTTTTCAACGGCTTTAATGTGACATGTTATGTATAACGTTTTTTATTTTTCAAATGTGTGATCCTGTGGATATTTAAACTTCATGTTGTATTGTAACAATTTCCATTTTCACTCTGCTTTGTCAATGATGAAGCTGATTTTGGTTGGATTCCATGTAATAATGCCTATTGAAATGGGCCATGATTATGTTATCTTTATCTGAGAGCAGAGCAGATCGCTTCGGATTTATAGAGGGTTAGGAAAAGCTCAGTAGCGCTCAAATATTTATGGAATTGTTCATCAGAATCCAATAAAAATTCACATGTGGCTTATGTACAATGTAATTGAAAGATAATTGCTATCATTACCAAAATCCTCGTTTCTCTGAACCCCACATTAACTATACTATTTAATGAAAGCAACCAATATCCCTTAACATATTCGGTTACATGTGGCAGAATGGAGGTATATTATCTTCGTTATCTGGTGAACTATTTTCCTTCTTCATTGATTCTTCTAATGTGATCAATCAAGATAATGAGGAATAATTCAATTGTTTTCGTTTCTCCCCCAGCAGGTTACGCATTGGTCTTCGGATTTTGCTTCCGTTTCAATTCGGGCTTGTTATTCGGATAATCATTTAAGAACAACAAAACTAAACATGCAAGACTACCAGATCAGTCGATTACGTTGTCGTTTGCCACCAGGAAATGTACTCTGGTTTGGCATGGATTTGAATCATCTCAATCGATATCCCAGAATGCAAAAACATGGAGTGAATGAGTGTAAAACTGTTGTTTTCAGAGATTTAAAGAAATTTTGAATGAATAAAAAGGTGCTCGAACCGACCTTTTGTTCGTGTTTTTCGTATACAGGGTAATTTGTTTCATCGGTATGGGCATTAACTATCATTT